CCCCCCCCACCCCATGTTGTCCTGATTGGCAAGGAAACTTGTCTTCTTGTTCTGACTCCGTGGGCCACACTCTTTTCTGCATGATAGCCCTTCCAGTGTTTGATGTTAAGGGTTGGACCTCTCAAGTGTGCTCTGAGCCAAGACCTCACCCAAGAATGCCATTCTCAAGGGTCCAGGGGTTACACCTGACCACTGGTATGAAAGACCCAGTTGCTTGTTTCAGCAATGGCATGTACTGGAGGGGCATCTCCAAAAGTGACTTAAAAATAGACCAGGGCTGGCTGGGCAGCCTTTAACAGTGACCTTCCAGATGCTTCTCTCACCACCTGCCTCTGCAGTGACTTCAGCCAGTGTCCCCTTATTCCGACCATGAGCCAGCTCCTGATCAAATCTTCCTAACTTCCAAATGATAGAATTGGGACAGACCTTTTTTTGTTTTCCATCCATGAGATTTTGCTGTTTAAAGTTATTTTTGTGTCTAACCCAACACTTTGAATTTAGAATCTATTTTACAAAGGGAAAAACATCAAAACAAAGCCAAACCAACAACGTGAGCCAGAAGGATGGAGCAAAAGTGCTGGTCAGATTTGGAGCATCTCTCAGCAGTCTGCCTCAGCATCAGTTGGGGTGTGGGGGGTTGTCTGTTAACAACTGCAAGTGAGTACCTGACTAATGGATCACACAAAAAGTACACGACTAGAAATGCCTGCTTCCTGATTCCCTCACTTCAGCTTATGCAGTTGGATAAGAAATGCATATAATACTCTCAGTTTTGAACTACTCCAAGAACACGGAAGGNCAGTTGGATAAGAAATGCATATAATACTCTCAGTTTTGAACTACTCCAAGAACACGGAAGGAAAGAGTATTAGCAATTATTGAGTGATGACCTTGTGCCACGTTTTATCATGCATAATCTACTCACTCCTTGCAACCATTACTTATGGGAAGGGAATCAAAGCAAGTGGTTAAGTGCCTCACCCAAGGCTGCACTGTGTGTGGCATAGCAGCATTCACCCGAGTCCTGCTGGCACCAGAATCCACCCTTGTCCCCCACACTCTGAGCAGCAGAATCAGTCCCACACTGACCATACTCTCCAGCAGTTCTGAGCTGTCACTGCAGGTGCAGAGCAAAAAAGGGGAGCACACCAGGGGACAATCCCACCGCTGGGAGCTCTGGGATTGGGACTTAGTAAGGGCGCCCTGTGGGGAGCCCTTCTGCTGATTTCATTTTCAGTCATCCCACATGGTTTTCCTTGTCGCCTTGTTGTGTATTAAGAATGGGGCTGAGGGAGTCTGTGATGAGTAGGCCATGCCCTTCTTCTCTGTCTAAAGGGAGACGGACATCGGTTATGCAAGCCGTCCTGGCCTGTCCTGAGTTCCCCAAGTGGTCTCTTCCCATCACTACACCCCCGGGGTGAACAGCTGCCCTCTTTCCACCTAAAGGACAGAGCTGTGATGTAAATTAAAACTCCGAGCTCCTCCGAGCATGGGCCCATCAGAATTTGGTCTTCTCAGCTGAAGCAGGTGCTTGGCAGCCACCTGTTGACTCAGTAATGGTCATGCTTTAAAAAGAGGCCACTGAAATGCAATGCCGGTCAAGCTCAGAGCTGCCTAACAGGAGCTGCCACCACCCTTATGCCTCTGTGCATCCAGAGCCCAGGAGGGGGTCTGGCCCAGGTCAGGGAGGCTGCGTGCAGAGCAGGAAGCTCCCGGCTCCACTGTCAGACACTCCTGCTCTCAACCCTGACTCCACCACAGATTAGTGCTGTGACCGTGACCTCTATAAAATGGGAATACAGTAGTACCCTCCACCAGGATAGGTGAGTGATCAAATGAGAGTATTTTAAGATCTCTAGCACATCCCCCGACCATAGCAGGGACTCATGCTGATAGAAGTTACAGTGCTCAGTAAATGTGTATCCAGTGA